TGTAACAGATAGTTGTCAATCCAATCCAACATAAAACGAACAATGCCCTCTAGACATAGAGCGTGGGCACGTCTTATAACAGGAAGTCTTTTGCCCAAGGAATTTTCACCCAATCAAAGCGAAACTTTCATGAGTGCGTCCACAGCCTACAACAAAAAGCCTTTTGTCAAAAAGAAGCGAAATAAACTTAACTTCCACATAAAAAAGAATGTAAAAATGACTAAAAATTAAAACTCTTGGGTTGCCTCCCAAGTAGCGCCTTTCTTTAACGTCTTTGGCCAGACGATACCATGTTTGATCAAGGGGGATAAAATCTTTTAGCTCGTTTCATTACTTCATCCTCGTGCCAGTAATTCTGAAGCAAACGAGCTACTTTGTTTTTCGGTTCAAGATGTTTGATACTTGCAACTCCTATTTTATCCAAACCATCCTTCTCAAAAACTTTTAAATCCTCACACTTAGGAGGTAATTTCTATTGCTGTACGGCTGAAGCATTTTTCTCCATACAAATTTTCTCACTGCAATTCGGCTTCTCAAATTTGTGAAACATTTTCAGAATTTCTCGCTCCTCCTCCTCCTCTTCGTTGGATCTTGTAAATTGATCAGGGAATGAAGGATGTATCACCACAGTTGAGGGTTGTTCATTAGACTTTTTCGTTGAAGAAGTTTGAGATTGAGATCTCATTCCTTCTTTCTCAGCTTCCTCTTCGACTGCATGCTTGAATCCTACGTTTTGAAACTCTTGCAGTCCTTCATCACTTCTCAGAGTAATTGCACTCATATTTTGTTCGGAGCTGTCAATGGTCTGCGAGTGCAATTCTTCTAAAAATTGAGACTCCACTCGGCTCATTGCAGATGCTAGTTGACTCAATCGATTCTCCAGGTTTCAAATCCTCATTCTTGTCTCCTAATAAAATTGTTGTATATTAGTAGCTAGTGATTTAACAATTTCTTCAAGAGATATACCTGACGTAAAAGTTGGTTGTTCCAGTTGATATTGCTGTTGAAAAATTGGTGGCCTTGCTCCATAACTGAAGCTAAGGTTATCCCTCCATTCTTGAGTGTACATGTTGGATCACGAATCATACCTCATTTGAGACGGATTTGGAAATCCTCCGACAGCATAAACTTGGGCATTCAAACCATCTTGTAATTTAGGACACATGTTACTTGGATGATTCGAGGTATAACATATTCCACAAGTTTTTCTTTGTTGTACTTGCCCTTCAACCAACTTTTCTACAAGAAATGTTTGAAAATGTAAACGTTGATCAATAGAAGAGATACCCATATTATTAACCCTCCTGTGAATGAAATCCTGTCTATCACCAAATTGTTGAGTATAGTTAGCCATAAACTAACTCCAGAATGAGAGGAAAATAAAAATAGTTCAAAGAAAATAAATCAATAAGGCACCAGCCCCCGGCAACGGCGTCAAAATTTGTTGGCTTGTCAAACCAGCAAAAATAAAAGTTTCTACTCTAAAAATATGAATTCGAGTGTAGCGGTGAGTAGGGTCGTATCCACAGGCATTGGGTAATTTATTTCTTTGTGAAAAATGGGGGATTAGGAGAAATTAACCAAATAGCTCACTTGAATAAAAATAAAGACAGTATCACAAAATTAAATAAAACTAAACCAAGAATAGGCAACAATCTAGTCGAAGGTCTAATTTCCACTTTAGTTCATTTAACTAATCATCGATGCAAAGGTAAAATCACTTATTCATAAATAAACTGGTTATGGTTGTCAACACGCTCTGACGACCTGCCTCTCCTTATTGTTTCGATAACCACAACACGCTTTGTGGCTATTTCTCTTGCCAATTAAGCAACCCTAAACAAGCTCTTAGGATTTAACCTATTGACAGCATTAATAATTAGAAATGTTACCAATTTTAACCAACAAACACACACGCTCGGTTCATTTAAGTTAGATTGTATATTCCCGTGACATAGATTCGAAAGTCTCTTTTACAATCAAATTATATCACGCCCCACAGATACTAAATCCATTAAACAATTACAGATTTGATATTTTAGATGGCAATAGACTGTTTCGACTATTAAATATTGATCAGGTCTTTAACTGTAGAAAATAATCATAATCATGAATGAGCAGAAAATATATAAATACTCATGAATAAATAAAGCAAACAAATCAAATTAGATCTCACAGTGTTGTCGAACCAAAGCTTCAATTATCCTTCAACTAGAAAAGGAATTAGCCGCTCCTCCTAGTGGATTCGCGGCCACAAGATACTAGGGTTTATTGTCTTTGAAGAGAAAAGAGGAAAAAAAATTAGGGCTAGAGGAAGAATGAGTGCCCACGTCTGTTTTCTGTCCTATTTATAAGGACGGAATCCCCTTTTCTTTCTAGGATCCTATTTAAACTAAACTAACCAACCCAGACCTATCAATTGGTTTCCAAAATAAATTACATCAAGTCATAACCCCTCAAGATCTCCAATTCCGTGACTAATATGTAAAACCATGAGCTGCAACTGGCTTCTTGATCAATTGACAGATTGATCTCATGTCCTGCGAACTCTTGACTGCCTTGTTAAATAAGGCGTTGGCACGCTTAACAGACTGGAGTCTTCTGGACATAGATCTTTAGAAGCACCACTTCGCGTTTGACAGAGCGTGGGCACGCTTAACAAGACGTCTTCTAAAAAGTTGACTTTTAATGCGTCTTTTACTTCATTCTCACCAACAATTCCTAAAAGCAACACCAAAATTCAAATATGAATGAAATATATCGATTAACGCCATATTTTAGCAAAATAAAGGGAAAAATATTCACCAATTATATGCACAATTAGCCACTTAACACCCTTAAACAAAATCTTTGCAAATCAAAACTCCAGGATTTTCTAGAAATCCTTGACAATCCTCAGAAAGAAACAACTAACCTTGTGAACCTGAATAACAATTCTCAGTTACTTCAGGAATATTTGGTTCAAATACGATTACTAATTATTGGTATTATGTAACCGAAACCAAAGCCCTAGTTGACACAGGGTCAGACCAAAACCATATTCTTGAAAACTTTTTTCCAATCCAACTTTTTTCCTTAGAATAACCAATAATTCTAAACTTGATATTGAATTCAAATTTTCAAATATACAACATCTATTCTCAGATACTTTCTTTTTATCTAAGTATCTGACTAACCATATCATCTTAGGAACCTCCTTTCTCGACCAATTACTCCCTTTTCAAATTTCTTGTCAAGGGATAATATCCCAACTTTTTAATCCTATATTATTTGAACTAACTACTTCTTTGTGCAGAAACATGGCAGGAAAAGGAAGTTCATCATCAAACAATTCGGAAGAGAAAAACTATCTCTTTGATGGATACTCTACTTGGGAACAAACCTCCCATGAAGAAATATCCAATAATCGAATCAATGAGTATCATCAAACCAGAATCAAACTAATTGGGAGTGGATCCCTAAAGAATCATTCTCAAACTAGATACCTGCGGAATCTACTTCAAATTGGGTACCTAATGAAATAGTCTCAAAACAATTCCAAGCAATTGATGAGACTTCAACAATAGACTGGATCCAGGAAACTGAAGAAGATGGAAATCCATTTATAATTCCTGAAGATCCTACTACTCAATCCTTCTAGATCAAACTCAGGGATGATAATTTCTCACAACTTTGGACAGAATATCACTATCTGGAAAACGAGCACAAGGAGTCTAGAATCAGAAACTTTGATAATGTATTCTTTAACCAAGACACCGGTGAAAGAATTCCTATCTATCATATACATAGATACAATCGCATTGGAGTAAGAGAATCAAATTACTCCATACAAACTTTGAAGGAACAATATGTTTCATGCAAAGAAGATACATACAGAGAATGGTTCTCAACAAGTATTTACTTGAGAAACGGGGAGTAAAAACACAGCATTACAAGCAATGGATTAAAGAAGCATCGGAAGAATTATCAGTAATGATTTGCTAATGCTTCTACAAACATTCAAGCTGGCTCAATCGGAACAAAATTCAGAAAAAATCATAATTACCTGTAGCACCGGAAGCACTGTAGTAGTCCGGCAAGTTACTGTATAAACACGACAACAAAAGACAAACAATGCACTGTAGCGCGCACTATAACTGTAATGTAGCAACACTGCAGCAACAGTAAAATCACTGTAGCAGGTATTGTAGCACTACGAAAATTTTTGCTATAAATACCCCTCAAACCCAACACATTCCACACACCATTTGAACACCATTTCTTCAAGACTACTTCTCTCTCTAATTTGAAGAAACTCTCCTCCCACTCTCTACAAACAAGTTTTTAGTTTTATATTTTAGTTTTTATCAAACAAAGGAGCAAGCCTTGTGCAAGTTTCATATCTTGTAAGTTCTTTTATATTCTGTCATTCAATATCATTCAATCAAATGGTCGGTTGAGCCGCCTCATATTCATATCCATTTACTTGTTTTATTTACTTTGATTATACTAATTATCCATGGATGGTTATACCACCTGAGCTAATATTCTAACTTGTTTTTATATTTTATTTACATTCTGTTTATACATGGCTGGTTCAACTGCCTATATTAACTAGTGACAGTCCGACTGCGATCCACTTCCTAACATTTATACTTTCAATTCCCTTTGCTTTATTTACTTTCCTGATTTAAGGGGCTAATCCCTCGTCCCGTATATATATATATATATATATATATATATATATATATATATATTAATAGTAAAATAAAATATATATCTCTAATATTTTATTATTCATTAAGAAAAATATTATTTTATTTATTTTTTAAAAAATAAAAATAATTATTTTTTGTTTTTTCGAACTTGAATTCGACCTCGACTCAACTTAAACTTGAGTTTTAAATTGATAGTTCGTCGAGTTCGAGGTCAATAAAACTAAATCAAGTTCAATTCGATTAGTTCAATACTCGACTTAACTTTCGTTTATAATCCTACGTCAGATGCACAAAAACGAAGTCGTTGGAGCAATGCTTTTTGCCTTTTGGGCGTTTTTTTGCCATTTGGTTGGCGAGTCCCCTCAAAATTCGAAGCACCCAGGCCGCCGGAGGCGCCGACAGCATGCCAGGCAAATCTGAGGTCCAAGGTCTCACTGTCTGGGTAGAGGGATCACCTACAATCTCGCAGCGGCGTCAGCTCCAGCACCAAATTCGCAGCCAATTCTCCGGGCTACAAGGTTGGTGCCCCACGGTTGCTTCTCCCGGCACTATCTCTTCCTCCTGGCATTAGATTCTGCCTCCCTTCTTTGTGTATATTTGTGCGTATACGGTGGCCATTTTTTTCTTCTTTTTTTTTCTCCCTTATTTGACTCATTCTGTGTACAAATTTTATCTATTTGATTTTGTTGGAGTGTCGATGTCATTGGCAATTTTGAGCTTAGCAAAGTGTTACTTTTTCCGAAACTATTGCTAAATCCGGTTGAACTATATATCTGGCTAGAATATGGCTTAAACATAGGATAAACTCAAATTTAGCGGCCAAAAAAAAAAACTATGTAGGAGTCCGAACAACTCAACATGCTAATCTGAATGGAAGGAAAATTAGTTGACAAGGTGCAAATGTGGCATAAAGGCACCAATTTGCGCCTTGTGAATTCATAACAATCTTAGAAGAATGTGCTTTGATATTAAGTTAGTGAAAATCATGAGGCAACTGGTTGATAAAAGGAGCAACACATATTGATTTAGTTGCTATGGGGATTTTCTAATTGATAATTTCGATGAAGAAAAAAGAGCAATGCAAATTGATCTAGATGCTTTGCGAACTTTCTAATTTTTTTGCCCTTCAACTATTTGCCTTTGTATTCTGCCATCTTTTGTTTATTTACTAGTTGACTAGGTGCTCATGTCTTGCGTAAGTTTGCCCAGATTTTGCTTTTATATCCATAGAAGAGTTAGTAGGAATTAGTTGGCAAAGGAGAATATAGAGAGGTCATATTAGACACACGGTTGTATATTTTATATATAGAAAGGCATTTACATTTACAGGTCCTATTACCATAGTGACATATTGTTAATTCAACCTGATGAAGTAGGATCCTGACAACAATGAATTGCTCTTGGCCTGATGTAGGAGTCTGATGACTGGTAGATGAAGTTATTTGTAAATTTGGAAGTCTTCTGCAGGAAGCTTCTCTTTGCCCACACAACACATCATACAGTAGTAGTACAATAGCCAGTTGATTGTCATTTAGGTTGTTGATACTGCATCCAATATAGAAAAACGCTATGTGACAAAATCGAACTTCTCAGCCATAATCTGATCAACTGTACCATTGCCGATATATTATGCGCAATGCAAGTGTATATGGCTGATCAACTGTAGCATTGCCAATATAGTATGTGCAATGCAAGTGTAACAAATCATTCAGGACATCTATGTCAGGGGAGTATATAATAATTCGAATTGTCCTAAATGTGAAAATTTCAACAGTTTTATGCTGCATTATAACATAGTGAAATAGATTACCACAAAAATGAAGAGGACAAAGTGTGATTTAAGTGCTTACGAGATAAACAAACACACATATCAAACAGAACTGATTGTAAACTCCAGAATTACAGATTCCAGGAATGTCAGGCATTAGGAGTGTGCAAATCAAATATGTAGTTATATATCTAAATGTCAATCATCAGTAGCACGAAATATTCAAAAAGTTGGCTTCAGAGCACCGCCAAATGGTATATCTCTAAAATTGATGTGGGACAAGATGGGTGAGATCTTGCCTACTAGTGCGAGCAGAAGATCAAGGATCTTGAGACTGTTTTGGGTCTGTGAACATTATCATGGATAGTGTCGTGGTAAGAAAAGAGGGGAAGAGGTAGAGAAGCTACGAGAGGAGAACAATACAACTAATAAACCAAAACTCAATCTTTATTCATCAAATTCTCTGCTAAGAATGACGTAGAAACATAAGTTTTTATAAAGTAAAAAGCTATCTGAAACTCCTATTTCCATATCCTAAATTGGGAAAGTAAGTATTTGTAGAACTTTAGAACTTTTAGGAACTTTCCGTTTCCCTATAAGAATGACTTGAATGACTTACCTAATGTTGTAGATAACTAAAAGAGGCCCAAAATGATGACAATCTGGAAATTTTGAGTGACAAAGGAAAGACAAAATGTAAGGCCTAATAATAGAAACTACTGAACACGCAGAGAAATTTGACCATTCGTTAGACCCTAGGAATCACCATGCACAGACTCCTCCAAACCAAAACTTCTTCTTCTTTTGGGAAAGGATCTTTTAGTTTTACTCTTAGCTTCCATGGACGAGAATATTTGTCCAACCAGCTTATGGTTGGGAAACTAGTAGAGAAATTGGTAGAGAAAAAGTTAGGGAAGGGAAACCAGTTATTATGGCTTTTTGATGATTAGAACTCAAAGCTTCCAAAATATTGTTGCTAGCTGTGTCAATTGGCTGCTAACCCAGCAACGAAGCTTCAATTCAACTGAATCTATGAGCCATGCCATCTAATGTAGAGAGAAAAGGTTGCAAAGCTTCTAATTATTTTTTTTCAATTTCGTGCACTTTTATCTTTTAACAAAGCAACTTCTTTTGGACCTGCTTTCAAAATCTTTCGAGAAAGTCTTGAAGTTTGGAAAGAGTTCTGCGTTTGTAACCATATTGGCCAAAAAAGAAGAAGAAAATGTGGCTGATAAAGAGGAAGAAAGTTGGGGCTCTGAATACCAAACTGATATAGGCAAGCTGGATGAGATCTTGTGTACTAGCGTGAGCATAAGGAAGAGAGGAACTTGGGACTCTTTCAGGGCTGTGAACAATAACCGTGAACACTAACATGGGGACGAAAGAGAGGAAGAAGTAGAGGAGTGTTCTTGGTCACTGTGAATCATGGACTAAGGTACTGATTTCATAATTCTGAATTGGATGGTTTGTGTTTTAGTACAGTGAGTTGTTCAGAGATAAAACTAGTAAGGAATCTCATAGAATGCCATGAAATTTTGGTGGGGTTACTTGGCAATGTTGGTTTTGACTTGTTCTCAATTCAGGTATTGAAGCCTTGGCAAGACATGGAGACATAGAACCAATACATTGCTATTATTTACAGCTTTTAGTATTTTGTGTGCGTAGTATTTGCGAGTTGGAAGTTTAATGATTAGAAATTTAGTAACCTAGTTGGGTTCTCAACTTACATAACTACCTTCTCTTAACTTCTATCCAAGGAAGTTAAAGTGGTCTTTTTGGAGGTGCTTGTGGGTCAGTCCCATAGGCTTGTGGCGATTGTTGGATGTCATACTCAATTTCTAGTTATTTAGTGAACATATCGCAAATGCTTTGCACCATTCACAGCCTAGCAATGTCTTTGAAGTCATTACAAAAACACCATATAATGGCCTCGTACTAAAATAAATTGCTGATACAAGGGATTTCAGAGATATGGCCTCATACTAATATAAACTGCTGGTGTAAGGGACTCCAGTCTCTGGAATCCAAGAATCCCCAGTAATAAACTTAGAAACTGTGAAAGGAATGACTTCCTCGGACTGATTCAATGCTTTATATCCCACCCATGAAATTCGTCTCCCTGTTCCTGCACCAGGGCCCCAATTACCATATTCTATATAGGTTAGCTCATCTGTGCGATGGCCAGGCCACTCATACCACCCAGCTGGATCTACGATGCTATCCAAGTAGGATTGCATCACAATCACGGTTGACCATGCAAACCACGGTCTTCCAAGAAAAGCGTGAACCTGAGATTTGTTGGACTGTAAATCTGGGGCTGCTGTCAAAGTGGAATTTTGAATGACAAATCCACTAACTTGATTGGGGATCTTTTTTCCCTGTGCAGTGAAAGTAATAATGCAGTTAGGCAACCATGCATAAAGGTTGCAGCTTTGAAAAACTGCTGCAGCATCACCAAACACAAAATCAACAGTGCCATAGATGTCACACTCCTTGTAAAATTGCTTGCCCGACTTTGCATAGAGTGTGTCCTGGTACCCTAAAAATGTACATCTGTAAAATGATGATTGGTCAGACTCAGACATTAGGGCAACAGCTTGACTGCCTTCTCCTGCTGAGTTTTCGAAAGTAATGTACTTTGCCATGAATCGATAACCTTTAACAGCTGCAAGCAATGTCATGTAATTGCATTTTAATAAGCTTCATTTGCCATGAAATGGAAAAGAAAAGATAATGTTTATGAAAAGAAATGGTAAATACAGCTTGCTCAAAATTTTAAATCCTATGTGCATTATTTGTGCCACTGAAAAACCAAAATGAACTTCAAAATCTTTATCTTCCAAAACTATGCAACCTGAAAATCTCTTTATGAATATATGATCTTTGAATATTCTTTCTACTGATAAGTTGATATTATTATTGCCAAAGAAGTAAGCTTCCTGCAAAGAAGTCAGCACTATTTACGATGGGCGTCTATTCTATGTTATTAAATTTAGACATCGTACAGTGTCGAATGTATGAATTACATAATCTTAATAATGCAGCATGGTGTATGTGAAATTGTAGTAGTACTCCAAGGAGAATAGATTGCTGCAAGAATCAAATGAGCTTGAAGCATTAAAGTTTTGAAATTTGAAAGCCACTGTAACTTTGTAGAGCTAGACGTAGTAGAGGGTACATACTATATGGAAGACACAACGTGTGCATGTTTGATATTGTTGAAATCTTGTGTTTGATATGGATATAGGCAACAATTAAATGCTGAAGTTGCATTTCTGTGTGTGTGCGATTATCTTTATCTGAGTGTTTTCATTTTGTTGTTCAACTTTTTTTACCTTCTCCAGTTGTAGGCATGCTTTTTTTGGTCATATTTACATGGTTTAGGATACTATATGGGAAGAAACAAAGTGTGCATGTTTGATATTGTTGAAATCTTGTGTTTGATATGGATATAGGCAACAATTAAATGCTGAAGTTGCATTTCTGTAAGTGTGCAGTTATCTTTATCTGAGTGCTTGCATTTTGTTGTTCAACTTTTTTTACCTTCTTCAGTTGCAGGCATGGTTTATTTGATTATATTTACATGGTTTAGGATACTTCTGCAAGCTTATGAACCACTACGATTTCCTTAGGCTTCTTAGTGTAAATGCATTAATTTTGCCCATTGGGTAATTGTTATCAGTTAACTCAGTTTTGCTTCCTTTTGTACATGCTTGTAGGCCCTAAAAAATATTCATTTAAACTTCACTTGGAAGAATGAATATGAAGAAATAGGACAAAGCAGTGAGGTTTGATTTGATAAACAAAACGAAACAGACTGTAAGGCCTTTAGATAAAAGGGCAAAATCACAAGGTGAGAGAGGGTGAGAATAAGAACATAAATTGAGAGACTAAATTTCTGATTATTGTTTTCTCACATGCAAACAATCTGGCAACTAGGCCTTTATGTAAAACTAAGATAAATCCATTCCGTATCTCACTTTAGTACCATAACACACGCGGACTCAATAACATAGACAATATTGATATCAAATTCTAGCTAATAAAGTTTCTGAAACACAGCCATATCACCTAAATAATTGGAATAGACTTGTTTAAACCTACTAGAAGGCTTCTTTGCTGCATTAAAAGGAGAGCTTCAATGAACTGCAACAGACAAATGGTGAAGTGCTATAGTGTAGTGAAGAAAAAAGAAAGAAGTTAGAAGAAACAAAAGGAAGACTTCTGATGTCCCCTGTTTTACCCACTCTGCCTTTTACTACTCAACTTTTCATTAAAATTCACCATTTAGACGTAAAATGCTGAAATGTTGTGATCCTACTAAAGCAAAAATAGAAAGCATAAATTGCAGTCAGAAGTCCTTACAAACAGTGGCAGTTTCGTAAGTTTTGAACTCAGGGAATCTCCTGTTCATTGTGATTTTGGTTAAATTTTCACCGTCTCCAATCAAAGCTATATTTGTCTTATTTCCCCACACTTCCACTATCTCCTCATAGATACCCGCCTCCACATGAATGTAGTACCTGGATTGACTCTGAATGGGTGCCGATGCAATGGCATCCATTATCTTTCTATATGCTCCAGGTCTTGTCTTGGACACGGTTGCATTAAACATAATGCCATTTCCATGAATGTTGCTTGATTTCTTGTGTCCTTGCAGCTGGAAATGTATGGAGATGTAAACAGATATAACCAATATAATCACAATGACCACTGGAGTGCCCTTAGCCATAGCTCCCTACCTACACCTGGAGGTTAGTGGTCGATGCTAATAGCTGCCTGAGAGTTCTTTTTTTTAATTAGTCGGTTGCAGGGATGAGTGGCAATTCCAACCTATCACCTGGAGATGTTGCTGATAGGCTAAAATTTTATCTCTCAGGCACGAGTAAAAGAGGCAGATGACTACTTCAATAATGTCTCAAGACAGTTTGTAAAACATCCAAAGCTTATGGTGCTCTTTCAAGTTGCTATGCCAAGAAGTTGATGAAGAAAACTGAGGAACTTATGCAGAGAATGACAGCATCTTGTTGTAACACAAAAGTTATCATACATGAAAATGCTTAACCTCTAATTTGAGTTGTGATAGACTAAGAAACTTCGAGAAGTTTGTGAAAGAAATGGAAACAAAAGGCATTTTGTTGCAGCAACTTTGAGTACTACTTCTTGTTGAAAGCATATGCTGCTGATTATTATACTAAAGCCACAGGAAAAGTCTTGAAGAAAATCGAGATGGAGGCTCTAGTTCATGCAGGATCCAACATTTCTTTTTCATGGCAGCAAAGGAATGCTTAAAAGCTAGCCTGGCAAAAAAGTCTTCTGAGATACTGAACAAGGCAGAGACGCTCAAGGGGGGAGCAGAGTGTGCGGTATACGTTCATGAACTTCTCCTTGATATGAATTCGCACTCGACGAACAAGAACTAGAATTCAGTCGTCAACTCTGGCATCTGTGCAACAAGAGGGGCAATGTAAGCAACTCAGAGCATCATGACATGATACGATTTTCAATCAGTTGGGATGACATTCGAGGAACTGAAAGGATTTTCCAGGAAGGGGAATCTCTGAAAACCCATGGCTTATGACTTGGAAGTTTTTGAGGACTTGTTTAATGCTTATGCTGAAATGAGATTGCTGGGACAGGCAGAAGCAGTGGTACGAAGCTGTGGCGAGTGGAATGAAGGTTCCTGCAGAGGCATGGGACCAACTAGCATATCTATACTACAAAGATAATCAGATGAAGAAGCCTGTTGATGCAATGACGAAGGCCTTTCTATTGTGAAGGCATTTGTTGGACATTAAACCGCATAACATATATTGCATGTTTTGAGTATTTAATAGAAAATGGAGATGCAGAAATTTACTGATATTGATGGGGAACGATTTCATAATTGCCAAGGAATTGGGTAGATTTAAAATTGTTACCTTAGTCCTGAAAAAGGAAATAAAAGACTAGCTCTCTGTTTTTGTGCTTGTATTTTTATTCTATTTTGGTTTTCAGACATAATGTTTCATTATTTCTGGCGGTAACCTACTATAGCCAACTGAAACTTTAATCCTTACCCAAAAAAGGATGATCTGGTTGTTGAATTGCTTTGAGTGTATAATGCAAATGGATAAAAACCATTTCAGGCCAATGGACATCTTTGGGGGTAATGAAGAATTGCGAATGGATAGAACCATTTCAGGCTAATGCACATCTTTGGGGATAATGACCTGAAACTGCTTGCTACATAAAAATATGCTTGGTATTCAGAACATAATTTACTTCCTGCAAAGACCTGTCATGCAATGAATCATCTGGGGGCTTTCCTCCTTGGTCGGTGATCACAACTTACAACAGTAGGTAGGCATAAAAACAATAATGAATATTTTTTGTGTTTAGTTTTTGAATATTAGACTTAACTGCCTTCATTATAATGCAGTAACTTTATGGCCAAAAACTCCACATTATTAGATTCTAACAGCAGATAAATGCAAGAAATCATTCATATTGGGGATAATGACCTGAAACTGCCTGCTACATAAAAATATGCTTGCTGCAAAGGCCTGTCATGCACTGAATCATCTTGGGGCTTTCCTTCTTGGTCAGTGATCACAACTTACAACTGTAAGTAGGCACAGAAACAATAATGAATATTTTTTGTTTTGAGTTTTTGAATATTAGACTTAATTGCCTTCATTACAATGCAGTAACTTGATGGCCAATAGCTCCTCATTATTAGATTCTAACAGCAGATGAATGCAAGAAATCATTCATATATTTAGTGATTATAAAGTGAGTGAAAGGATATTTCTATGCTTTTTGGAATAGCAATCATGATTGAATTCTTTAACTGCTGTTTAATTTTCTGTGTACCCTTATGTTATAGTAGTATTTGGCCAAGAAAACTGCTAAGGCCTGACTAATGGATGTTAACAGATATACATTTATGAATATTCAATGTCCATTTTTAGAAAAACTATACTTACAAGAGCTTGAGCGTTAGTCAGGGATACTGCAGAGTGCAGAGTAGCATTGACTTTGTCTTCTGGACTGAAATTGCAAAAATACACCATTTTGGCAAGAGTGATTTATGAGTCATTACCATATAAAACCAACAGCGCATTTATGTATAACCTTGACAACTACGCAATTCCACCATAATTTACAGAGATTAAATCTACCGACATACTGATTGATGCAAATTGAATTGCTAAAGTTTCTGGATTTTCGATTATTACTAAACATTCCAGAGTCCAAGTGCGATAATAGGCTGACCAAGCCAGTTGGCTACATTGGTACAGAATACTTTGGTCTACATGTATTGACAGTGAAGAGTGTTGATGTCTGTGGTCTTGGGGCAGTATTATTAGAACTTTTGCCGGGGAAAAGGGCTATATAACGATGGCTAGCTTGGATAAATCTATGTTTCCTCTAGCAGCAACGGTATTTTGCTCAGTATCAATGGTAAGCATGCCATAACATTGTAGCAAATCACCCTCCCTGCTCATGCAGAATAAAATTAGTCTATCCCGAATGAAGGTAATGCAAATGTAATGTCCATCCAAGCTTGTAATTGTCAATCAGGTGCACGGTACGATTTATGTTAATATCAATTCAGAAATAGTGAATATATGATAGCCAGAAACATCTGTAACCACATCGTATCCATTAGTAGAGTTCAATACAATATAAGAGAGGATATTATATTTGGACATAGTTTTTTAATTTCATTCTCTTCTGAAATGGCATCTTACTAAAAACTCAAGGCTATGGTGGCAGCAGTTCATTGGATGTGCAAAAAGCTAGATGAATCCTTTTTTGTGTCAAAGAGAACAACATTTTATCTACCCAGCATGACATGTCCAAATTGCACGAATGATCCCGGTAATAATTCACAAGATTTGCTAGTCCATAATGTTAAATCTATAGATAGGTTATGTCTATCATGGTCTGTTCTATACGAGCATGGACAAGAAAACACCCTTTCAATTGAAGAACAAGCCTTTGAATCCTTTGATCAAATCAATTTCAAGAGAAGAATAAGAATTAGAGGGCTTCTTTCTTTGTTTCAAGAAAATTACAAAGATTCTAACCTCTTTTTATTCTCAAATTAATAAATTGATATTTGTACCAATTCTCTTGGTTTTTTTCTTTAGGCAACGAAATCTGTATTGCAACCAACATTGCTATTTCTTGATATGTTCATATCCCGGCTCTATATATTTGTATTTATTATTCACTCATTCAGTTGTCAAGTAATTTGTAAATTATGAAACTCTGGAAGTTCTAGATTTGAAAGACGGTACATAGATTTATATTCTTAGATATATCTTACAAAGGCTAAAAAGGTTTAATCTCATTTCTTAAGCATATGATGCGCTGAAAAAAATATTTATTATTGTTTGTGTTGCTAAAAATTGGGCAATAGAATTTATATTGACGGTTAAGAATTGTAATTTTAAGGATTGGATAGGTTCATTAATAAAATAAAGTTCAAGGGCCAATCATTAATTTTAACTTTTAGTTTTAGTATGAGGCGCCAAGAGGGGGGACAAGAAAACCTAAATTTTCTCCGTCATTCTTTTTCTTAAAAAAAATGTTATGATGGCTCCTAAAGCCAAAGGGATTCAAATGATTTCATGGAAGAGGCTCGGAAATTCAAGAACAGTGATGAATAATTCAGTCTAAGAGATTCTAACTAGTATAGGTTGAGATGATACACAAGGATTGATTTCAGAACTGCTTTCTATATTAGAATTTTTAGAGTGACATAATTCCTAACAAGTGTTTTTGATAACGTATAATTGGTTTATATTAAAACTGCTTATTGTTGTAAATGCACGTTTATATAAGTTTATTTGTCAATGATTTTGACTGGGAACGGATCAAGTGATCTACCGTCATGGATTTGATACTTTACGAATTCTTGTGAATTGATATATTGTTTACAATGAAAGATTCATTAAAAACTTAGATACTTTGTACCTTAATTTTGTGTGTCATAAATCGATAGTTCGAGAACTATACATGCAACCAAACTATACCAGGATTAAATGTGTGGCTGTGACCCAAGTTAGAGTGAAAGACTGTAACCTGTGACTAAATCTTTTTTTTTTTTTTTTTTTTTTTTTTGCGCAGTAGGGTATCTGGGCCCATGGACTGGTAATACCGTACAGCCCAACTAATCCCTACTGCGGGCTGGGAGCGGCTCGCCCCAAGCATCACCAGCCTCGGTAATGCCGGGATTCGACCCCTGGACGTGGCTCTCCCCCAACTGGGACTACAACCACGGAGCCAAACCCGGAGGAGCTGTAACCTGTGACTAAATCAAGGCGGTTAAACTTGACTCGTAATGTAGATTATCTTGTGGCTTGTGTGATGTAAGTATACTTAATTGTGTATGTAGAAAAATGATCTCATTGTTGGAATTTTGGTTTCATGATGGCATAAATTTTTGTAATTATTGAAAACATTATTATTTTTCACAATAACTATGTGAAATCTTGTTTGACTACACTAGTTAATCTAACTGATTAAGCATTTGATCACTTACTGAGTTGTTGAGCGCACCCCATAATTATTATTTTTCTTTTCAGATCTTTAAGGATTGGATGAAACTACGCGGTTGGGTTGTATACCTTAATGGAGTACTTTAGTTTGAATTTCCAGTTATGTTCAGCAATGATGTCACAGGTTTTAGGTTTCAACTTATTTATTAGGTGGCATTTGTTATTTAATTTTTAGGCTATAGTTTTACTCCTTGTGTAATTGTATAGTCTGTTCTATTATGATTGGTTTGGATAATCAGTTATGAATTTTGAAAATTCAATGAATTTGGGGCATGACAACATTGATTAATGTTTAATTTTCATTGAAACAACATATATTATATTTTGTTCATTACTGAGACATCTAGAAAAAGTTTGTGACAAACTGTTGATCAGTTTCTTCATTGAACTTAAGATAAATGACCATCTAGTCCAATACTCTCCTGCACCAAAACTATTGAGTTATTTTGCTCTCTTTTGGTAAATTCCCTACTTTTATCAGTCGATAAATTTTTACATTTTGTCTGAAAAAAATGATATTAACCTATTTCTCTTCCAGGAAAAAAATTGCCAAATTTCGTTGTTATGAAAATATGGTTGTCACCATGAACTATGTGATCAGATTCATGATCATTTGTTTCTTTTTGTTGTACCATCTGTATGGATTAATCCAGGCAATCTCAAGTTATATGACTATCATCCTTAGCAATTGCAAAACAAATTCAAAAATTATGAAAATTATTGACATAGTATTTAGTTCGAATTCATTATTGACATAGTATTTAGTTCGAATTAATGTATCTTTATCATTCAATTTATCTAATAGGAAGTGATTTTGTAACATCTTGAGCAAGGAAAAAGTTGTAATTGGACTTGATGGGTGTTTGGGTTATTTAGATAATTTTCAACTTATTTCTTCGTACTAGTATAAATGATTGTATAAATGAGTTGATCCAACTTATCAATTCATACTAATGGGTTGATCTAAGTATACTAATTATAAAATTTCTGTCAGAACTTGTTTGTATGACCTAAATTGCCACTTCGCAATTGTGTGATTTGTTTGCAGCTTAATGTTCTAATCACCCAAATTGGCACTTTGCTATTGTTCTATTTACTTGCAACTTAATGAGTTACCTTATTAACCAAACAATTTTATGTGTTTTGTAGTTCATGAATTCAAGGTCAAAAAGTTTGATGAAAAATTGTGAAATGACCAAATGGAAATAAAGAAATTTTACTTTTTAGCAATTATGAAAAGAAAAGGATAAAAGAGACCACATGGCACTTGAATTACAAGACGGTATTTTTTATCTTACTTTTTCTTTATATATTTGTTGTCTTCACTCCTATTATTTTTCCTCCTAATTTTCTTTTCTTGGTGCATTTGGGCTGTTAATCAATCAAAAATGACAAAAAGTTTCGAAGTTATTACTCGATGACCTAAATCTCAAACTGTTTTTGAACTCC